TGAGTATATTCTTCCCTTTTGGCTTTGTAACTCCAGGTATTTGTTTGCACATTTCATTATAAACTTTACTTTGTCTTCTCAAGCTGCTCTTCTAAATTTTCTATTCAGTTCTTTTACTTCCTCGTTTCTTCTAGTGGCTTTAGCTTCTCTATGCTCAAGTTTCAGAGTGTCTTCTTGCATCCATTTTCCTGTCTTCAAAAAGGACTTTTTGCTTTCTTCATGTATAATGTTCTTGATGTTATACCACAGCTCTTCTGGTCTTTGGTAATTGGATACAATTAGTATTCAGTGCATCAAATCTGTTCTTGTGAATGTCTCTAAATTCAGGTGAGATATACTCAAAGTCATATTTTGGGTCTCATGGACTTGTTTTGCTTTTCTTCAGCTTCAACTTGAACAATTGATGGTCCATTCTGCAGTTGGTCCCTGGCCTTGTTTTGGTTGGTAATTCTGAACTTCCCCATTATTTCTTTCCTCAGACGCAGTTGATTTGATTCCAGTGTGTTCCTTCCAGTGAGGTTTACATGTATAGTCGCAGTTTATGATATTGAAAAACAGTATTTGCAATGAATAAGTCAATGATAGAGCACCTGTATCACCAAGGTCGTATTTTCCAACTACAGATCCTTGCTCTTTGTTTTCAGCTTTCACATTCCAATCACCAATAATTATCAATGCATCTTGATTGCATGTTTGATCAATTTCAAATGGAAGAAGCTGGTAGAATTCTTCAATTTTATAACCATTGGCCTCACTGGTTGAGGTGTAAATTTGAATAATAGTGGTATTAACTGGTGTTCCTTGTAAGTATATAGATATTTACCTATCATAGACAGCATGGTACCTCAAGATAGATCTTGAAATGCTTGTTTTGGTGCTGAATGCAATGCCAGTCCTGTTCAATTTGTGGCACAGTTAACCATATAATTTTTTTAAATTAAAAATGGCCAATATCAGACCATTTCTGCTCACTGATGCTTAGGATGTTGATCTTCATGTGTTCCATTTCATTTTGGATGACTTCCGAATTTCCTAAATTCATACTTTGTACATTCCACATACTGATTATTAATGGTTGCTAGCAGCTGTTTCCTGTCATTTTGAGTTGTGCCCCAACAGCTAATGAAGTTTCTGAAAGCTTTGCTCCATCCAAGTCATTAGATTATTTCTACTTTGAAGAGCTAACTCTTCCCCACTCATATTTTGAGTGCCTTCTAACCTGATATATTTTGACAGTGGTGGTATTGGTGGTTGTGGTGTCGGTTCCAACTCATAGTGACCCTGTATAGGATCTCCGAGATTGTAAATCTTTGCAGAAGCAGAAAAACGCATCTTTGTCTCTCAGATTCAAACCGCTGACCCTGAGGTTAGCAGCCCAACTTGTATGTCACTTTGCTACAAGAGCTTCTTACACTACTTCAGGCAAGTATTTAGTGACTGTCCTTTCACAAGCGGCCAGCCTCTTCTTATTCCTAGTCTGTCTCCATCTGGAAGCTTTGCTGAAACCTCTGTTAAAATCTTGACATATTTGCATAGTTTACAGCTTCACAGCAACACTTAAGTCACTACAGCACAATAAACTGACAGAAGACTGGTGGAAAGATCTATCTAGGTCTTTTAAGCTCTCTCAGTCTGAATTTCCTCTTCTGGAAAAATGATTTTTATACTGAGTATATAGATAGGTTGTGAGGATCAGTAAACCTGTCCCTTTGGTTAACATATGTTAACTATTTCTTGGCCATTATCATTAATAACTTTCTTTTAGTCAAGTTAATTACTATGATACTGTTGTTGTTGCTAAGAGCCATTGAGTCGCTTCTGATTCATAGTGATCCTGTACAGGGTTTCTGAATAGCAGCTGGTGGGTTTGAATTGCTGATCTTAGGTTCACACTCCAGTACTGATCCTACAGTGCCACACTAGGAGTTCACAAGGATATTAGTAGCTCTTGTTATGAGTAAGGGAGACTGGAGAAGGATTGATGTATTTGAATTATGGTGTTGGTGAGGAATATTGAAAGTGCAATGGACTGCTAGAAGCATGAACAAATTTGTCTTGGAAGAAGTACAGCTAGAATACTCCTTAGAAGCAAGGTTGGTGAGATTTAATCTCATGTACTTTTGACATGTGATCAGGAGGTACCAGCCCCTGGAGAAGGGCATCATGCTTGGTTAAGTAGTGGGTCAGTGAAAGAGAGGAGATGGAATGACAGTGGTTGCCAACAATGGGCCTAAACAGCAACCACTGTGAGGGTGGCACAGGACCACGTAGTGTTTCGTTCTGTTGTACATGGAGTGTGTGTGAGTCAGAGGCGACTTGATGGCACCTAACAACAACAGGAGCTCTGATTACCTGCTCTCCAATACAATCTATGATGAAACTTGCTTACATTTATGATCAGATGCTTGGTTTTAATCTTGTTCTAAAAGGCATCATATGGTTTCTTGTTGTTGATGTTAGTTACTGATGAGGTATTTTGATTCATGGTGACCCCGTGTATATCAGGATGAAATGTTACTCAGTCTTGCACCATCTTCACAATTGTTGGTATACTCAAGTTGGTATGCACAATTCTGCTTCCACTGTTTATTTTGAATTCCTACGGGTTCATGTTTCAGGAATCTGTCAGACAGTATTCTGTTGTGATACACAGGAATTTCATTGGCTAGTTTTGGGAAACAAATCACCAGACCTTTCTTCCTAGTCTGAGTCTGGGAACTTTCCTGAAATCTGTCTACCAGAAGTGACCCTGCTCTTGCATGGCTGCAGGGCCATGAGTCCAGCCTAGGGTTGGTGTGGGGGCTGCTGTACAGAGTGGGCTGGAGGCTGCTGCTGACACAGATGTGCTCTTTAAGACCTGTGGTGCAAGAGGAAGGTCTGGGCCCTGCAAGCAGCACCAGGAGACGGAGGAGCCTGAGGAGGAGGTTGAAAGTTCCTTAGAACATGGAGAACAATACTGGGAGAGCAGCAGGCATCTGGGTCAGGTGGTCCTAGGAGAAGCCCAGGACACCAAGAGAGACTCATAGGAAGGCCCTGCCCATTGGTCTTCAGAGCCCTGAGTGGGAGGGGTACTTAGGGGTGCAGGAGTTGAATTGTGTTATATGGGCTACAGGAGGGACAGGTGGTCAGGGCTTTCCAGGAAACATACTAGGAGGGGGAGGGTCCCAAGACAGAAAAGGGCACCTGAGGAGCACAGGACCCAGAGGAGCAAGCAGAGAAGAGGGTGGTGATTCCAGGGCAGAGAGGAATGCAGAATGTAGGGGTGGGGGAGCAGACGGACGCTGTGAACCAAGAGAGCTGGAAGCCACTGCCCGATGTCAGGCTGTGACCTGCAGGATCCTCCCTGCCACTCCACCTACACACTACAAAAGCTTTTTCACAGAATACTGATTTTTGAATAATGACTTAGTCTTTGGAACCTAGCCATGCTGATAAGTGGGGAGTGGGTGTACATATATTTTGTATTGCCAATTAGGATTCTTACCTGAAAGGTGGTCAGGTAAAATGCAGAGTGAGTTTAAAATCAAATTCCACCACTTCGTTACTTTTCTCATTTTTAAAGTGATCATGTTTTAGCTGGTACTTCCACCTGGTGGTAGCATCGTCCCATTGCAAGTCAAGGAGCAGAAGGAAAAAAGACAGGGCAGACTGTGTAAACATTCGCTCTCTAAGTAAGATGCAGCATTAAACAGCTAAATAAATAAACAAATCCATACCTTATCCATGAAACAGGAGTCCTGGTGGTGCAGTGGTTAAGTGCTGGATGGCTAACAAAAAGGTCTGAAGGTCGAACCCAGCAGCTGCTCCAGGAGAAAGATGTGGCAACCCGCTTCAATATAGATTTTATTGCTGTGATTATTAGATGCTGTAAAGTCGTTAGAACCCACAGCACCCTCATTTATAACGCAGGAAAACATTTCCCAGTTCTGCATCACACTCAGAATCTATGCTATGCTTGAGTTCATTGTTGCAGCCACTATGTTAATCTAGCTCCTTCAAAGTTTTCCTCTTTTTTGCTGACATTCTACTTTCACAAACACGGTTATCATTCTCCAGGGTCTGGTTCTTCCTGATGATGTGATGAGACAAGTCTTGCCATTCTTGCTTCTAAGAAACATTCTTGCTGTTCTTCCAGAACAAGATATGTTTGTTATGGAAATCCATTGTTTGTTGTTGTTAAGTGTTATCAAGTTCCAACTCATAGCGACCCTGTATAGGGTTTCCAGGCAGCGGCTGGCGGGTTTGAGCCACCAACCTAGTGGTTAGAAGCCCAGTGCTTATCTTACAGAGCCACATGAGGACCCCATTCAATATTCAAAGCATCATAATTAAAGTACATCAATTCCTGTTGGGTGTTCCTTATCCACTTTCGGACTTTCACAGGGATATGTTGTTATTGCTGTTAGGTGCCATGGAGTCCATTCAGATTCGTAGTGACCTCGTGCACAACAGAACGAAACACCGCCCATCCTCACACTGTTCTGGGAGCTTGCAGTATACTAATCAACAAGAGCCAAAATTCTGTCCTGGATGCTTTTTAAATATGTTCTCCAAATACTATATTTGCTAGATACTTTGTAAAGAGCTCTATACATACAAAGTTTCCCCCAATGTCGACGTATTGTTTCGAGGTCCACGTTAATATGACCAATTCAATGAAGAGACTTGTGTCGACCCACTCCAGCCGACCTAAGAACCCATCCCTGCATACACAATAAACTATGAATTAGGAGATGCCGTTGGCTGGGCCAGCGGGGTTGACAGCTACAGCAAGATCACGTCTTGGTTAGTGACTGCTCTCTCAGGCATGCGCTCCTGCTCCGGGACGCTGGATCTAAGCCCGCTAATTTCTAGTGCAGGGACAACGCGCCATCTTGTGGCAGCTTGCAACCCGACCATGGGGCCCGGAATAGAATTGTCGCCCGGAACCCGATGAGAGCGCTCAAGGTTCCGGGGAGGAAGACACAGAAGGACGTGAGCGTGGCTGTTACACTGCAGAGATGGAGGCAGTAACCTTGGGGGCCCGGGGCCTGAGGCTCTGTCGGGTTGCTCCCGGCAGCAGGGCCAGCTGGAGTGAGTTTCCACGGGTGTGGGAAAGCAATGCCGAGAGGGTGTTGTCGGCCTGGGTTGGGTGTGAGAGGGGTCCTGGGAGTGGCAGGGCCCCGCGGGGTGTCTGTCTGGAAGGACGGATTCGGGGCGCTGCGCCCAGGAGGGTCGCTGGGGGAAGTCGAGGGCGATCTCTTTAAGAAACCTACATCCAGTATTGTCCTTATGGTCCCATAGGAACACATTGTACTTCCCTTGTCAAATCCTCTGATTTGGGGTTTGGTAACCAAACTCAGGATTTCTCACCCTATATATTGATAGTTTTGGTGTGGGACCTCCAGTCTCCTGGAGCTTTCGTGTCTTTGTCAAGATTCTCTCAAAGTGACAACTTTGCTTACCTTTCCAATGACACTAGCATAGTTTGAACTCTACTTCCTGATTACTATTTACCGCCTAAATATAAAATGAAGGCGTGGGTCTGGACCAAATGCTGTTTTCTTCTGTCGACATTCGTCTCATTATTAGCGTTAGAAAATGGTTTAATTTACTTTTACCTCTGAGCAGCTTTTTGTCATATTCAGAGCTGTGTGGCCTCCAGTTTTTTCTTGCTTATAATCGGTAACCAGTTGCTATGTAGTAGGCTGTGGTTCACGGTAACCCCATGTGCATCAGAGTAAAACTGTGCTCCATGGGCAAGTTTTTTGCAAGTAGATTGCCAGGCTTTTCTTCTGAGGTGCCTCTGGGTGGACGTGAATGGCCAGCTTTTCTATTAGCAGTCTAACAGATTAACTGTTTTTATTAGCAATCTAGCAGGTAACTGGATCAGAGCAAAACTGCTCCTTGGTTGATTGTTTTGCAAGTAAGTTAGTTGCTAGACCTTTCTTCTGAGGTGCCTCTGGGTGGACTTGAACCTCTATCTTTTCTATTAGCAGCCTGGGAGTATTGACCATATATCTTTACTTTTTTTTTTTCAATTTTCACATTCCTTCCTTTTAATATTTCCTCAGGATTTATAGCAACATCACCAGTTTCTCAGCTGTCACTAACTGAATTGACAGAAATGCGAAATGAACTCTTTAATAAAGAGAGAACCCGGCAGCTATCATTAACTCCTCGAACTGAGAAGATTGAAGTTAAACACATTGGGAAAACTGACCCTGGCACTGTCTTCGTGATGAATAAGAACATTTCTACTCCTTATAGTTGTGCTATGCGTAAGTAACAAAGTCAGGATACCAGTTTGGTCATTTTACATGATCTGTTCCCAAGAATTTGTACAAAATAGACTTGTTGTAATTACTCCCAAAACTCAGACGTTCTCCTGTATTTGGCATCTGTCTGTTCACTTGTCTTTCTAGTCCTTAGTGGTCTTAGGGGTCCTACAAAGTTTGTACTGTTGGACAAAGGTTGTCTTGGGATTGATTTGCTTGAGTCTGACTAAGTTTGCTGTTAAGTGCCATCCAATAGGTTCTGGCTCATAATGATCCTGAATAGTACTTCCAAGGAGCAGTGGGTGAGTTTGAACCATATATCTTGTGGCTCAAACCAACCTTGCGGCCCAGTGCTTTAGCCCACAGCATCACACCAGCATTTTTTTTAACAACTGTAGTTATCAGCATATCTGCAGAGAGTGCGCTCTTAGACTTCCTGTACTCTAGCACTTGAATTGGTACTTATGGAAATTGTTTCTTAATTTGTTTTGTGAGCATTTATTGAAACTATGCTATGCGATAGGTTCAAGAAAGGAGCCCTGGTGTGGTGTTGTAGGTTAAGCACTAGACTGCTAATCAAAAGATTGACAGTTCAAACCCATCAGTCACTTCCTGGAAATCCTGTGCAGCAGGGGTGGGGAGCCTTTTTTCTGCCAAAATTTATAATATCACTTGTGGGCCATACAAAATTATCAACTAAAAATTAGCCTGTTATATTTGCTCATACATTTAAGTAACTCATCCCTAATGTGATGGTAGCGTAGTGGTTATGAGTTGGGTTGCCAACTGCAAGGTCAGCAGTTCAAGACTACCAGCGGTTCGGCTGGAGAAAGATGAGGCGTTCTGCTCCTGTAAAGATTTACAGACTCGGAAACCCTGTACAGGGTCGCTATGAGTTGGAACCGACTCCACGGTACTTAACAACAACAATGTGATGGCTGGAGTCCTGGTGTGGCACTGAAGAATAAGCGCTGGACCTCAGGGTCGGTTTGAACTGTAAGGACAGTGGTTCAAACTCACTGGTCACTCCTTGGAAACCCTGTACAGGATCACTATAAGTCAGAACTGACTTGAAGGCACTTAATAACAGCGACAAATGTGATCACTGAAAGTGCGGTTAGGTGTTTCTTGGTTAGGTGTTATTGTTGTAGAGTGTTAAGTGTTACTATTATAGAAAGGCTAACAAAGTTAGTAATAGGTGTCAGTGTTGTAGGGGAGGTGAACACAAAGCTAAGGCCCTCAAGGAGTTTTGTACACATCACTTGCAGAGGTGAAGCATTTGAACCATCTTTAGTATGACCCCTACCTGAGACTTGTCCTTCATACCATCAATCCTTTGGTAACCTTTTATTGACTGCCTATGATATTCTGGACCCATTGCTAGGCTGTGGGTATATTGATGTTATTGTTGTCAGATGCCATCGAGTTGGTTCTGACACATAATCACCCTGTGTAGGATTTCTGAGGAGTGGCTGGTGGTTTTGAATTGCTGACCTTGTAGTTATCAGTCCAGTGCTTATCGTACAGTGCCACACCAGGACTCCTGGATATACCACTAAGTGCGCCAAAACAGACATGACTTTGTCTTAATGAACTTATGAAGCAGCTGCGAATTAAAACCCTATAATTTGACCACTTTTATGACTAGCTACATACTCACAGAACATCTATTCAGAATTGGAATGTTACTATTGGTTCCTAAAATAGACCAGAGCTTATGGCTGCATGTGGATTCATATTAATAAAAAATTGGTAACTATAGTCTTTAAAGAAGTATGAGATGGTTTGGGAACATAGTCTAAAACCCATATAGAACAGACTTATTGTGGGTGTATATTAATACAGTTTTCCTTTTAAATTGTATGTGCATATATGCAAACAAAAAATGGCTTCAAAAGTTTGTGGAGAAATTTTGTTATCTTGTAATTCTATTTTCTCACAAATTTTTGAAACCCCCTTATATAATATAATATAGTGTCTATGATACTCCTCTCTGAATATTTAAATATATAATTTTATTGATCATTGACAAATTCATTTACAACTAGATACAGTAATTTTATAAATGGCTTGTGTAAATTTTGTTAATAATTAAGAATATCTTTATTGATATTGTTGAGTATATTTATTATAGATTACTGGTGTGATTTGTAATACATTTTTCCTCCAAAAAGATAACTTACAAAATACTGCCTTTTCATTGGTTAATTTAGTAACATAGTACTTAAATGTGCAGCATTTCACTTTGGTTTCATTGCATGTAAATTATTAATTCATTTTAAACATCTAGATTTAAGTGAGTGGTACTGCAGGAAGTCCATTTTGGCTCTTGTTGACGGACAGCCTTGGGACATGTACAAACCTTTGACCAAGTCTTGTGAAATTAAATTCCTTACTTTCAAAGACCAGGATCCAAGAGAAGTGAATAAGGTATTTCTGTCTTTACATTACACCCTCTCCTGGTTTATTCTTACCCTTTTATAAAAAAATCTCATTTTCTGTGGCATATGAAATGTTAAAGTATGCATAAAAGTCAAATGTACTGTACTAGATATTTTTAGGGTTTTACTTGTTGGATTAGACGTTTTTATAGTTCTGAAATACCATTGTCATCCATTTTTATTAAGTGACATAATTGGATCATGCCAATTCCTCTTACAGAACTTGCCAACCTGTAGTGCTCATATAACTTTCCAGTCCTGTTTAATATGGTCCCAGGCTGCTATCTCACCTTTGCCTCCTATTATATCTTCTTATTTCCTCTTTGATCTGGATACATGAGAATATTTGGTCACTAAAGGTTTATGTACCCACTTTGCTTTTTCATTGATGTAAATGCTCAGCATTTTCTCTCCATTCCTATTAAAATCCTATGCTATCTTTCACAGTTCATTTGAAATGCCATCTGCTGTATGGAATTTTCTTCGTTTCTTCTTGTCAGAATGAATCCTTTTCTTTTCTCTAGGGTCTCACAATGCTTTATTAGTGTCTCTAGATATAACAGTTTAATTTTGCTTTAATGAATAAAAGTTGAGGTAATGCTATAGTATAATAGCAACTGCTACTACAAACTGAGAATGGGCAGATACTTGAGAAGTATTTCCTGAGTCAAAGTTGATGTAAATTTTAATATTGTAGAAACGTTAATGAATCTAAGTGTGTATTACTATATTTGTATGTTATATTATTTTCCCCTAGGCTTATTGGCGTTCTTGTGCCATGCTGATGGGCTGTGTAATAGAGCGGGCATTCAAAGATGAGTACGTGGTCAATTTGGTCAAAGCTCCAGAAGTTCCTGGTAATGTACATAAATACATGTATCTTTCATAATCCTTGAATATTTTTGGTGCTTATTTCTGGTGATGTATAGAATTAATTTTAAATTTTATTTAATAAAAATTAATCATAAATATATTCTATTTATTGTGGTAACTAAATTTACCCTATTGTATTGTGAAGTAATCATGAAGTCACTAATTACTGAGGAGTATTTTCTCTTGAATATGGGTTTCCTGGATTGCACTGCCTCAGTGTTTGTGTCTTAACATTTTAAGTGTTTGTTTCTAAATTGAAAGTGTTAAGGAGAAATAGGAGTATAAGTAGGCTTTTGGAAAGAGCTATGTTTAGTTGACAACTTTTTACTAGACATAATCATGACTCTAGAAATGGGCACATGAGGAATTAGGGAGGAAGAAGGGTACAGACTCTTCTCTGTGTTCAGCTTGATAATTTCTATTAACTTTGCTTTGCTAATGCGGATGTCAGTATTTTTGTTGAAGAAAATGTTTTGTGTATGATGACTTGTTAAGTGCTGTCTAGTGAGTTCCGACTCATAGTGACCCTGTGTAGGGTTTCCAAGGAGCGACTGGTGAGTTTGAACCATTGACCTTGGGGTTCAAACTGACATTGCGATCTGATGCTTTATCCTACAGCACCACACCAGTGTATGATATACACTCAAAATGAGCAACTAGATAAAATTAACAGTTGATATGAATGGACAAGTCCCAAACTGGAAAACACTTAATTTCACTTGAACGACACTGAAATAGTTGTAAGATACCTTTATCAGATTGACAGAAATTAAAAAGTGTGATGATAGCAATTACTGACAAAGATGTAATGAAAGTACTGCTATATATTATTGTTGTTGTTGTTGTTAGGTGCCATTGAGTCTGTAGCAACTCATAGCAACTCTGTGCACACAGAACAAAACACTGCCTGGTCCTGGGCTAACCTCACAATTGTTGACACACTTGAGCCCATTGATGCTGCCACTTTGTCAGTCCATCTCGCTGGGGGTCTTCCTCTTTTTCTCTGACCTTCCGCTTTACCAAGCATGATATCCTTCTCCAGCGACTGGTCCCTCCTGACAATATGTCTGAAGTATGAGAGACAAAGTTTGGCCATCCTGGCCTCTAAGAAGCACTTTGCCTGAACGTCTTCCAACACAGATCTGTTGGTTCTTCTGATAGCCCATAGCACTTTCAATATTCTCCTCCAACACCATAACTCAAAAGCATCAATTTTTCTATGATCTTCCTCATTCACTGTTCAGCTTTCGCATGCATATGAATGAGGTTATTGAAAATACCATAGCTTGGGTCAGGTGCACCTTAGTCCTCAAGCTAACATCTTTGCTCTTCACCACTTTAAAAAGGTCCTGTGCAGCAGATTTGTCTAATGCAGTTTGTCATTTGATTTCTTAACTGCTGCTTCCATGAGTGTTGATCATTGATCCAAGAAGAATGAAGTCCTTGACAACTTCAATCTTTTCTCCATTGATAAGAATGTTGTTAATTGGTCCAGTGGTGAGGATTTTTGTTTTCTTTACATTGAGATGTAATCCATACCAAAGGCTGTGCTCTCTGATCTTCATCAGTATATATTTTAAGTCCTCTTCACTTTCAGCAAGCAAGATTGTATCATCTGCATATCACAGGTTGTTAATGAGTCTTCCTCCAATCCTAAAGACCGAAGACCAGAAGAGTTGTGGGATGATATCAACAACATCATACAGGAAGAAAGCAAAAAATCATTAAGAAGACAAAGAAGGAAAGAATCAAAATGGATGTCAGAAGAGACACTGAAACTTGCTGTCCAGTGTAGAGATGCTGAAGCAAATGGAAGAAATGAGAAGATCCAAGAGCTGAACAGAAAATTTCAAAGGTCAGCTTGAGAAGAAAAAGTCAAATATTAGAAAACCAAAAGGGAAGAACACACTCAGCATTTCTCAAACTGGGGGAACTGAAGAAAAAATTCAAGCCTAACTTTCAGTATTGAAGGATTCTCTGGGCAAATTATTGAATGATGCAGAAAGCATCAAAAGAAGATGGAAGAAATACACAGAGTTGCTGTACTAAAAGGAAATGGTTGATGTTCAACTGTTTCAAGAGGTAGCATATGATCAAGAGCCAATGATACTGAAGGAGGAAGTCCAAGGTGCATTGAAGGAATTGGCAAAGAACAAGGCACCAGGAATTGCTGGAATATAAATTGAAATCTTTCAAGAAAGTGAGGTGGCACAGGAGGCACTCACTCATCTCTGCCAAGAAATTTGGAAGACAGCTATCTGGCCAACTGATTGGAAGAGATCCATATTTGTGCCGATTCCCAAGAAAGGTGAATAAATGGAATTCGGAAATTATCGGACAATCTCTTTGATATCCTGTTGTTGTTGTTGTTAAGTGCCATCGAGTCGGGTCCGACCCATAGCGACCCTGTACAGGGTTTCCGAGGGTGTAAATCCTTACGGGAGTAGAAAGCCTCATCTTTCCTATGCGAGTAAAATTTTACTAAAGGCAATACAGAAACGGCTGCAATCATACATTGACAGAGAACTTCCAGAGGTTCAAGCCGGATTCAGAAGAGGCTGTGGAATGAGGGATATCATTGCTGATGTCCGATGGATCCTGGCTGAAAGCAGAGAATACCAGAAAGATTTTTACCTATGCTTTATTGACTACGCAGAGGCCTTTGTGTGGATTATGACAAGCTATGGACAACATTGTGAAGTATGAGTATTCTGGAACACTTAATTGTGCTTATGAGGAATCTGTAGGTGGACCAAGAGGCAGTTGTTCCAACAGAATAAACTGAATGGTTTAAGATTAAGAAAGGTGTGCGACAGGGTTCTATTCTTTCATACATTATTAGGGTGATTGAAAAAATGGTATATAGAAATTCCCCAGTTACTAATGCCCCACAGACAATTTGTGTGTGCCCTTTTGTTATGTAAATCCACTCTCTATTTGAAACAGTTGAACCAATCCCTGTTGGTAGCAAATTCTTCATTAAAGTCGTCTTCATTTCATGCACATGGAGCTCTGTAATTTTGCAATGGTGTCAAGCCTTTTTTTGAAGTAAAGTCGGACTAAATAAGAACTCTATGCACCTGTTTCAACTTAATCTACAAATTAGGCTGAAAAATACTCTTAGGAGTATGTTACCTGCGTATTGCCTGTAATACTTTTGGATTTACATTTTGTTCATTTATACTAACATTTTAAAGTCTCTTACATTTTAAGAATTTATTCTAATTATATAAGAAGTTAAAGGTATATGAATATAGATGTGCCTTACAATACTGTAATAGCAAAACCCTGGAAACAATATAAATGTATTTATACTGGGTTTTTCATGAATAAAATGTGATAACTCGTTTTACAGTGGAATATTATTTGACTGTTAGAAGGGATGAAATAGAACTACTGACATAGTTGTGTGCTGTGGAGTTGATTTTGACTCATAGTGATCATACTGTGATCCTAGGTGTTTAAAATGCTTTTAATAAGGAACAAGATTTCTAATGTGTAGTAGGACCACATTTGTATTTCTTTTAGGTAGTAGAAGTAAAGACACCAGAAATATCTGAAAAGAAACCCAGGGAACAATTCACACTGTTGATTTTGTTAGAGTGGGAATGATGGAAAGGGAACTTCATATTTTCAGATATATCTTCTTTACTGTATGACTCTTTTAATAGTATGAATATGTATACTACATTTTAATAAAAAGAACAAAGCTACAAAAAGTAAGGTATTTAAGAGATTTTAAGAATGAAATTTTGTCAACATTTCATGTCCATTTAGTCAGTCATTTACTTATTAACTATAGTTGTTATTGTTATTTGCCATTAGTCTTAGCAACCCTATGTAGGTTTTCCGGGAGCGACTGGTGAGTTTGAACTGCCAACGTTGTGGTTCAGATGAACCTTGCAGTCCAATGCATTAACCAACAGCGCTACACCAGGACTCCATTGAATACAGTGTAGTTGTTAAGTGCTGTAGAGTCGGTTCTGACGCATAGCAACCCTCTATGGGGTTTCCAAGGAGTGACTGGTGAGTTTTAACTGTCGCCCTTGCAGTTTAAACCAACTTTGCAGTCCAGCACATTAACCCAAAGCACTACAGCAGGACTGCCCCACCCCAGGACTCCTGTTGTATTAAATACATTTAAAAAATAGTTACCCCTTATTCAGTTGGGATACATTACAAGATCCACAGTGGACACCTGAAACTGCAGATAGTACCAAACCCTACAGATGTTGTCCTATATGTCCAACCTGTGATAAAGCTTAATTTATAAACTAGGCACAGTAAAAAATTTAGCAACAATGATGTTGAGTAGTCCTGTTGAGTTGGAACCAGCTTATAGGGGCCCTATACACAATAGAAAGAAACTCTACCTGCACCATCCTTACAGTTGTTCTTGTTGTTGCCACTGTGTCAGTCCATCTCATTGAGGGTCTTTCTCTCTTTGACTGCCTCTCCACTTTTCTCTGGGAACTGGTCCCTCCTGACAGCATGTCCAAAGTATTTGAGACAAAGTCTAACCATCCTCTCTTCTAAGGACTTTTCTGGCTATAATTCTAAGAAAGATTTCTTCTTCTGGCAGTCTGTGGTGTTTTCCATATTCTTCTCTAACACCATATGCAAACACATGATTCTTTTACATTCTTCCTTATTCATTGTTCAACTTCATATGCATTTGAGGCCGTTAAAAACAGCATGGCATGGGTCAGGGGCACTTTAGTAATCAATCTGATACCTTGGTTCCTTAACACTTTAAAGAGGTCTTTTGCAGCACTTTTGCTTAATGCAATATTTTTAAGTTCCTTGCATTAAAAAAAAATCACAAGCCTTATCTGTATCATCTAGCCAAATTACTGTATTCTCTTTCCAGTTTCTACACTCATTGTTCAATGATTTCCACATTTCCTTGAGTCTCTTTTCTTTTCTTTGGAATGGGCACAAATAATAGATATCTTCCAATCGATTGCTCAGGTAGACATCTTCCAAATGGCTTTACATTAATGAACGGGTGTCTTCAGTGCTTCATCAGTTTGTGGAAAGATTTCAGTTTACATCCTGTCAATACCTGGACCCTTGTTTTTCACCAATGCCTTCAATTCAGCTTGGACTTCCTTCAGTGCCATTGGTTCTTGATTATATGTTACCTCTTGAAATGGTTGAACATCAACCAATTCTTTTCAGTAAAGTAACTCTCTGGATTCCTTCCATCTTCTTTTGTTGCGTCTTACGTCATTCAATACTTTGCCCATAGTAGTTTACTCTGTCTTTTCAAGCTGCTCTTTGAAATTTTCTGTTAAAAAAATTCATCATTAATTATGTCTTCCAGTTGATTCAGCTTCTCTCCATTTCTTTCTTTCCTATCTCTTAAATGACCTTTTTTTTTTAAAAAAAACAAAAACAAAAAAACTTTTATTGTGAATTTAGTGATAGTTTACACGGCAGAACATTGATTTTGCATTCAGCCAATTGTATTTTGTTTCTTTGCAGCAATTACAAACTTCTCCATGTGCCGTTTGTTAATAGTATTTACCTCTATTCCCTTTTTTTTTTTTTAATGTACCTGAAAGAAAACAGGCAGAAATATATAATTGTTTAAACAACCAAAAACACATTTTGTAAACCAGCCTCCTGCCCACCAGCACACAGCTTTTCTTTTTCCATAAATCTAGAGCCCTCAGATGTTCTGTCTCTCCACATCCTCATCTCTGGTATCACTGCTTACTTCTATGGCTCTGCTTAGGCTCACATGTCACTGCTTAGGCTCACATGTTCCGCTCATGCTCTATCCCTCTTAATGGTCCTAGCCTCCCTCTGTTCTTGGAATGTAAGATTAACTATTCCTCCTCCCTTTTTGTTACACAACTTCTACCTTTACAGTTGTGACCATTGCAATTAGTCATGGTAACAGTTACTCACTATTATATCAAAAGAATCCCATTCCCATCGCCTTTCACCAGACGCATCTAGACAAGGTGAAAACTATTCAGTAGGGATTCTGTCTTGTCCTCCTCAATCTGAAACTAAACTCCCTCTTGAAAACTTGTAAGCTAGCCACTTCATTCCTTTGTGGCCCCTCTATTTTAGGTAGTCAGTGTCTATGTTGTCCACACCTATCAGTCCTGTATGGTGAGGGGATAGGCTTGATCCTTGATGTGAAGACTCCTTCCCTCTGGGTTGGTATTTTGAGCTACTACATCCATAAGTAAAGGTCAAGTTCATCAAATTATAGCAAATTATACTTGCTTCCTGTACCAATTTTTTAATTTTCTTCTGTTTGAGTTCTGATCATCAAGCCATCCAAGCTAGGTCAAATGGAGACTATCTGTAAGTTTGGAAGTTCTTTCATGTCTCCCCACATTTCATATCAGCTGGACATGTCACTATCAGCTCTAGCCCCCAGTGGCTAGGTCAGTGTCCGTGGGATCAGGGGTTCCCAAATCTCCCCAAACTTCACACCACCCAGCCTTCCTCTTTTCTTTCATCCCAAGGATGACAGGAGTATGTGGAACATCGTCGAACTCAGCTTGTGTCTTCATTACTGCCTTTCCTCCACTTGCACTCCCAAGTAGACCAACGCAGTCACCAGAGAGCTTACAAACCTGCTTGTGTGTTCTCTTTGAGTTTCAATCTTGGAAGGGAGTTTTGTCCTAAAGGGAATTGATGGCTTGTCTTGTTGGCTCCCAGTTGAACAGCTTGCTTGTTCTTTTAAATAGTTATTAAATGAGCTTTTGCTTAATAGATGATGTTCTTGATGTCATCCCACAACACTTCAGGTTTTCAGTCATTAGTGTTAATGCCCCAAATCTTTTTTTTAGATGGTCTCCAAATTCAGGTGGGATGTATTCAAATTGATATTTTGACTCTCAGGGACTTGTTTTAAATTTTTTCAACTACAGCCTGAACTTGCATATGAGTCGTTGATGGTCTGTTCTACAATTGGCCCTTAGCCTTGTTTTGGCTGATGATACTGAGCTCCCCCATTGTGCCTTCCCTCGTATGCAGTCATAGTGATTTTTGTGTATCCCATCTGGTGAAATTCCTGTGTATAGTCACCATTTGTGTTGCTGATATTTGCAATGAAGTAGTCATTGCTCTCGCAAGTTTCTATCATGGGATCTCCAGCATAGTTTCTGTCACCAAGGCCGTGTTTTCCAAATATGCATCTTTCCACTTTGTTTCCGACTTTCACATTCTAATCACCAGTAATTATCATGGCATCTTGATTACATATTTGATTAAATTCAGACTGAAGTGGTGGTGGTTGTTATGTGCCATGGAGTCGGTTCTGACTCATAACCCTGTATAGGGTTTCTGAGGCTGTAAATCTTTACGGGAGCACAAAGCCTCATTTTTCTTGGAACTGCTGGTAATTGCGAACTGCTGACCTTGAGGTTAGCAGCCCAACTAGTAACCACTGTGCTACCAGAGCTCCTTGAAGTAGTTGGTATAGCTCTTCAATCTTATCATTAATGACTTTAGTAACTGGTGCTTAAAAATTGATAATAGTAATATTAACGCATCTTTCTTCTTGTTAGGTGCCATTGAGTTGGTACCAACTCATAGTGACCATATGTACAACCGAACAAAACACTGCCCTTTTCTATGCCAGCCTCACAATTGTTTCTATGCTTGAGTCCATTGCTGCTGCCACTGTGCCAGTCCATCTTGTTAGGGGGCCTTCCTCTTTTTCACTGTAGGCATATGGATATTATTTTATCACAGATAGCGATGTATTTCAAGATAGATGTTGAAATTCTCTTTTTAAAGATGAATGTGGCACCCTTCCTGTTCATTTGTCATCCCTGCATATCCAATTCAGAATGGTCAGTACCAGTCTGCTTCTGCTCTCTAATGCCTAGGATGCCAATCATTATGCATTTCATTTTAATTTTGTTCCTAGATTCACACTTTGTACATTCCATGTGCTGTTGTTTAATGGATGTTTACAGCTGTTTATCTTCATTTTAATTTGTGCCCCATCAGCAAATGAAGGTCCCCAAAGTGTTTCTCCATCTGTATCTTTAAGGTCAACTCTGTTTTGAAGAGGCACTTCTTCCCTTGTTTTATTGTGATTGAATTCCTAACTTAGGGACTCATCTTTTGGCACCGTATCAGCTTATAATCCAGCTGCTGTTCGTAAGATTTTCAGTGGCTAACCCTTCAGAAGTGGTCTACCTCTCCTTTCTAGTCTGTCTTAACCTGGAAACTCCATAGAAACCTATCCACCATGGGTGACCCTGCTGATATTTAACCAGTGGCAATAGTTTCCAGTATCACAGCAATGCACAAACTACCACAGTACAACAAACTGACTCCAAGTGGTGGTTAACAATAATAACTAATAATAAAATAGAACAATTAAAACTGTGTACTATACCAAAGGTTATGTGAATGCGATCTTAGCTATGATTTTTAAATTTCCATATTAAGTTGAGAACTTTCACTTATAGGAAGCACTTTACGACTTCCCTCTGGCATATTTGAATTGCCAGCATCACTACTCTTGCAGTTTCAGGCCAGTATTAAGTAAATTAAGGGTTACTTGGACACAGCATTGCAATACCGAGAAGGCTACTAAGTGACTAATGATTGACTAGCCTGTATACTGTGGATGCTCTTGATAAAGGGACAGTTCATGTCCAGGGCAGGACAGAGCAGTGGGCAGTTCATGTCCAGGGCAGGACAGAGCAGTACAGCATGAGATTTCATCACATTGCTCAGCACAGCAAGCAATTTAAAGCTTATGGATTGTTTATATCTGGAAAATTTCGTTTAATATTTTCAGTTATCCATGGGTGACTCTGGGTCACTGCAACCACAGAAAGGAAACTGCAGCTAAGGAGGGATTCCCATATCTTTTCTTTTGGAATTCTTAGTATATCTTAATAGTGATTTGAAATGTCATAGAAAACAAAATGTTTCACATAGTATCAGTGGTTTTGGATTAATAAAAGGTGAGTTAGTTTTTGTGGTAGAACAAAGTGTTCAAGCTCTGGCATTGAGCTGGATAATGGCAGAAGTTTTATAGTTGGTAGAGTTGGGAGAGATTGTTAATCCTTTTCTATTGGATTTACAGTAATTGCTGGAGCTTTCTGCTATGATGTAGTTTTGGACAAGAGACTCGATGAATGGATGCCAACAAAAGTAAGCTCTTTAATTATTTGGAGTGTTAATTTTAGAGTTTGTGCCTTTCTCTGTTAGAATGATTCCTGTGTTTATACTGTTGGTTTGTAGCACATATTGATGATACTTAAAATAACTTTTTGTCTGATTTTGTTGCTTTTTCAGTGTAGTTAAAGTCATGAGAATGAGAAGATACTCAATAGTATAGTCACTTGTCTTGACGTTTTATGCTTTGTTGGACTTTTTCCTGAAATGCCGCCTGCCCTTTACTGTTCCTTAAGATAGTGGTTTTCAGATATTACTATAGATGTCCAGAGGATAGCATATGTCAGCTTAGCTATCTTGGTTGATATGTTGGGCCTGATGCTGTAACTGCTTGGATTGTGTGGGCACAGTTTGAAAACCACTGTCTAGTCCATTGTACTTTGTCACACACTATACCGAGTTCCTTTTTAACATCAGGGTCACATATAGGGAACTGGGAAGAACTAAAGAATCAGACTATTGATAAAACTGCCCCCTCAGACAGCAGAAGTTTTCTTTGTGAATGTTCTATCTTTGTAATATAGGGTTGTTCTGTTGGTCTGTTGGTCTGGGTGTGGGTCTTGGGGAAGCAATAACAGTTAAGTTTAGGTGTCAAGTAGATTTTGACTGCTGGTGACTACATGTGTATGAGGTAGAGCTGTACTCCTTTAGGGTTATGACTGGCTGATTTTTTTGGAGGTAGATCACCAGTCACCTAACAACAACAACAAAAATAACAAAGTCTTAATTAAGCAAAACTGCTTGTCCTAAAGATAGGAAATCTGACAATCAGAAAAGAGGAGGCAGTATAGTCAATTACATTTTATCAGTTCCATGGTATCCTCCCTCAGCCCCCACATTTCAGTGTCTCTGAAAGTAGGATATGTCTTATAGTAAATGACATCTTACAACTATAATTGATATTTATTAGTAGTAATCTTATGGTTGTTGTCATCTTATATTCAGTGAAGTACTATTGTTGATGTTAAGTGTCATCGAGTCGGTTCAGAATCATAGTGACCCTGTATAGGGTTTCCCAAGAGTGGCTAGTGAGTTTGAACCGCTGACCCTGTGATTCAAACTGACCTTAAGATTGAATGCTTAGCCTATGGTGCCACACTAAATTCTTGGAAAAAAGCAAAGGCTTTAGAATTAGGAGAGATCCAAGGTTAGATTCTAGCTTTGGAAGTTACTTGCGTAATCCTTCCCCTATTAAATATTAAATAAAAGGGAAAGGATTACGTAAATAATCCTTTTCTTTTCTTCTTATTTATGCCTTTTCTAAGAAATTATGTCTTATATAAAAATTATTTGCACAACAGTGGTTGATCTTTTCTTTATGATGATGTTGTTATTGTTAGGTGCCTTTGAGTTGGTTCTGAGTCATAGCAACCCTATACACAACAGAATGAAACACTGAGGATTCACATTTTTTGTTATGTTTGAACCTATTGCTGCTGCCACTGTGTCAATCTATCTCTTTTGGAGTCTTCCTCTTTTTCACTGACCATCCACTTCACGAAGCATGATGTCCTTCTCCAGACACTGGTCCCTCCTGATAACATGTCCAAAGTATGAGAGATGAAGTCTCATCATCCTGGCTTCTAAGGAGGATTCTGGCTGTACTGCTTTCAACATAGATTTGTTTGTTCTCTGCATTCCTTTTAATATTTTTCTCCAACACAGTAACTCAAATGCATCAATTCTTCTATATGGACTTCCCTTAGAATATTAGATGATCAAAAATACCATGGTTTGAGCCAGGCGCACTTTAGTCACAAACTGATATCTTTGCTCTTTTACACTTTAAAGAATCTTTTGCATCACATTTACCTAAAGTAATATACTACTTAATTTCTTTGACTGCTGCTTCCGTGAGTGTTGATTGTGGAGCAAAACAAAACGAAATCTTTGACAACGTTAATATTTTTTCCATTTCTCAAAAATCAAAATTTTAGTGAAAATAATACACAACATCCCTGCTGCTCAATTTTCAGTCAAGCAATAGATAGGCATATAGAGGAGACAGGAACACTAGAGAGGTGCGCACACCATAGAATGGTCAGTCATTTGAGATCATAAGGGCAGTGATTACCCAAGGACAAAGTTCACAAGGGTTAGGAAAGAAGGAGGAATGGAGATGGGAAAACAGGGAGGAAACAGGATAAGTGATGTTACATTGTGAGGATTGTAACCAATGACATGAAACAAAATGTGTATGAATTATTGACTGGAAATGGATTTGCTCTGTAAACCCAGTTTAAAATAAGGCTAAAAAAATTGTACACATACATGTATGGAGCCCTGGTATGATGCCGTGGTTAAGCTCTGGACTGCTAACCAAAAGGTTATCAGTTCAGTCCTACCAGCCTCTCCCTGTACATATTTGATGGAACTGCAGAAAGTTCATGGTGAAATTCTATTATCTTTCAGTTCCATTTTCCCGTGAACTTTTTGAAGCTCTTTCAACAAAACATAGACCTATACAACAGTTTTACATGTTCAGTTCAGTGACAGTGGTTATATACTCCACATTGTGTCACCATTCTCATTGTCAGCCTGCATTGTTTCAACACCATTAACTCAGACTCGTAGCCCCTTAAAATTCTCATCTGTGCTGCTGAGTTACTTTTGTCAGTTTGAAAGGATAGTGGTACAGGGGCTTAAGCATTGGGTTGCTAACCTCAAGATTGGCTGTTTGAGCCTACCAGCTGCTCTACCAGAGAAAGATGATGCTGTCTGTCCACTTCCCTAAAGATGTATGGCCTTGGAAACCCTATGGCACAGTTCTCCTCTGCCCTGTAGTACCACTTTGAGTTAGAATTGATGAGATGGCTGTGAAATTGTCAATCTGATTTCAACATAGACAGTTCTTTAAAAGAGCACAAAGCTAAAGGCAAGCATTCTTTATTAACTGAGCTAAATAAACTGTTGTTTAGCTCAAAAATGACTTCCTGGGATAGTTTCTGTTCAACGTTAAAGTGTTGTTTTCTAGGCAGTAGATTCAGGGTAGCGTAGTGGTTACGAATTGGGCTGCGAACCACAACGTCAGCAGTTTGAAACTACCAGCTGCTCCGCGGGAGAAAGATGAGGCTTTCTGCTCCCATACAGATTTACAGCCTCGGAAACCCTGTACAGGGTCACTATGGTCAGAACCGACTTGATGGTACTTAACAACAACAATAACAACTAATTTCAGTGTAGCCAATGCATCTGGTTTTCATAAGAATTTGAAGTTCCATTGCACATTTTTCCTCCTTTTGAAGATCCATCTATTGGGTATTTGATCAAAATGTTCAGTAATGGTAGCCAGGCACCATCCAGTTATTTGGTTCTCTTGACAGGGGAGATAATTCATGGAGGCAGATCTGTAGTCCATATCCATGTTCGATTCCTGGGTTTCTTTCTCTGTTGCTCCAGGATCATTTATTGTTTTTTTTATTAAAAATCTCATAAACTTTGGTAATGTTTAATATCTATAAAATTGATATTTTCATTAAGCAGAATTATGGAGAGGTAACTATATGCTATAAGGAGCTCTGGTAGCGTAGTGGTTACGAATCGGGCTGCGAACCTTAAGGTCAGCTGTTCGAAACTACCAGCCGCTCCGCGGGAGAAAGATGAGGCTTTCTACTCCCGTAA